ATACAGGCTGAAAGTGAAAGGCTGGAAGAAGATATATAATGCCAACAGAAATGAAAAAAGAGCGCGCATAGCCATCTTAATATCAGACAAAATAAACTTTAACACAAAAACTGTTAAGAGAGACAAGGAGGAGCACTATATAATGATTAAGGGATCAATTCAGCAGGAAGATATAACGATTATCAATATATATGCACCTATTTACAGGGCACTGGTTTATTTAAAAGATTTGTTAAGGGATTTAAAGGGAGACTTAGAGTCCAATACAATAGTACTGGGGAACTTCAATACTCCACCCTCAGAAATAGATTAATCGGACAGAAGATCAACAAGGAGACAGTATATTTAAACGACACTATAGCCCAAATGGATCTAACAGATTTCTACAGAACTTTTCATCCTACACTTAAAGAATTTACATTCTAATAGTGAGGGCGTGCACCAATAGTCCGGGAATAGATAATTTAATAAAAGTGGAGTTACGGTAGCCTCAGGAAAAGGATCAGGAAAAAATTGCAGAGGAAACTCTTCCAGATCTAATGGATGTGACACGGAGGACCTACAGGGAGAGCAAGGTCACCAACGGCGTGGAAGCTGAGCCACGGGAGCCGAGCCGCAGAGTCTGCGTGCCAGCGCTAGAAGGGGAGGTGAGACAAAGACCACATGGACATTGAACAACATGCTCCTGAATGAACAATGGGTCGTAGAAGAAATCAAAAAAGAAATCAAAAACTTTCTGGAAGTAAATGAGGATAACAGCACAACATACCACAACTTATGGGATACAGCAAAAGCACTGAAGAGGAAAGTTTATAACAATAGGTGCCTACATCAAGAAATTGGAAAGGCACCAAATAGATGAGCTTTCAATGCATCTCAAGGATCTAGAAAATCTGCAGCAAACCAGACCCAAATCTAGTAGGATAAGAGAAATAATTAAAATCAGAGAAGAAATCAACAGGTTGAATCCAAAAAAACATTACAAAATATCAGCCAAACAAGGAGCTGGTTTTTTGAAAAAATAAACAAAATTGACATCCCGTTGGCCCAACTAACTAAAAAAAAGAAGAGAAAAGATAACAATCAAAATACCAAAGACATTCTTCTCAGATCTGGAAAAAATGATGATGAAATTCATATGGCGACACAGGATACCTCAAATAGCTAAAGCAATCTTGTACAACAAAAGCAAAGCTGGAGGCATCACAATACCAGATTTCAGGACATACTACAGGGCAGTTGTTATCAAAACAGCATGGTACTGGTACAGAAACAGATGGCTAGACCAGTGGAACAGAATTGAAACACCAGAAATCAATCCAAACATCTACAGCCAACTTATATTTGATCAAGGATCCAAAACCAATCCCTGGAGTAAGGACAGTCTACTCAATAAATTGTGCTGGGAAAATTGGATTTCCACGTGCAGAAGCACGAAGCAAGACCCCTACCTTTCACCTCACACAAAAATCCACTCAACATGGATTAAAGACTTAAATCTATGACCCGACACCATCAAATTATTAGAGAACATTGGAGAAACACTGCAAGATATAGGTACTGGCAAAGACTTCTTGGGAAAGACCCGGGAAGCACAGGCAGTCAAAGCCAAAATTAACTATTGGAATTGCATCAAATTGAGAAGTTTCTGTACTGCAAAAGAAACAGTCAGAAAGTGAAGAGGCAACCAACAGAATGGGAAAAAATATTTGCAAACTATGCAACAGATAAAGGGTTGATAACCAGGATCTACAAAGAAATCAAGAAACTCCACAAGATCAAAACAAGCAACCCACTTAAGAGATGGGCCAAGGACCTCAATAGACATTTTTCAAAAGAGGAAATCCAAATGGCCAACAGGCAAATAAAAAAATGTTCAAGATCACTAGCAATCAGTGAAATGCAAATCAAAACCACAATGAGGTTTCACCTCACCCCAGTTAGAATGGCTCACATACAGAAATCTACCAACAACAGATGTTGGCTAGGATTGGGGGAAACTAAATTGGCAAACAAACAGGCTGTCTGCACATTAATGTTTATTGCAGCTCAATTCACAATAGCTAAGACCTGGAACCAACCCAAATGCCCATCAATAGTAGACTGGATAAAGGAATTATGGGACATGTACTCTATAGAATACTATACAGCAGTCAAAAACAATGAAATCTGGTCATTTGCAACAAAATGGAGGAATCTGAAAAACATGCTGAGTGAATTAAGCCAGTCCCAAAGGGACAACTATCATATGCTCTCCCTGATCAGCGACAACTAACTGAGCACCAAAGGGGAAACCTGTTGAAGTGAAATGGACACTATGAGAAACAGTGACTTGATCAGCCCTTGTCCTGTCTGTTGATATATAATGTAATACTTTATCCCTTTTAGTATTTTTTTTGTTCTAGTACTATTGGTTTAACTCTGTAATCAACACACAATTATTCTTAGGTGTTGAAATTTTAACTGAAAAGTGATCCCTGTTAAATATAAGAGTGGGAATAAGAGAGGGAGGAGATGTATAATTTAGGACATGCTCAATCGGGCTTGCCCCAAATGGTGGAGTTAGAAACTTGCCAGGGAATTCCAATACAATCCCATCAAGGCGGCATGTGCTAATGCCATTTCACTAGTCCAAGTGATCAATTTCAGTTCACAGTTAATCACACTGATACGTGTTAGAGTCAAAGGCATCACACAAACGAGACTAGTGTCTGCTAATACTAACTGATAGAATCAAAAAGGAAGAGAACGATCCAACATGGGAAGTGGGATACACAGCAGACTTATAGAATGGCAGATGTCCTAAATAGCACTCTGGCCTCAGAATCAGCCCTTAAGGCATTCAGATATGGCTGAAGAGCCCATGAGAGTATTTTAGGCATGGAAAGCCAAGACACTCTGGGGAAAAAAAAAAACCACCTAAAGGAAAGATCTCTGCGAGTGAGATCCCAGTGGAAAGAACAGGGCCATCAAAGAAGGAGGTACCTTTCTCTGAAGGGAGGAGAGAACTTCACTTTCGCTATGACCCTGTCGGAATAAGATCAAAATCAGTGAACTCAAGAGGCTTCCATAGCCTTGGCAACTCATGACTAGAGCCTAGGGAGATTACTGACGCCATAAACAAGAGTGCCAAATTGTTAAGTCAACAACAGGAGTCACTGTGTACTTACTCCTCATGTGAGATCTGTCCTTAATGTGTTGTCCAATGTGAAGTAATGCTATAACTAGTACTGAAACAGTGTTTTTACACTTTGTGTTTCTGTGTGGGTGCAAACTGATGAAATCTTTACTTAATATATACTAAATCTATCTTCTGTATATAAAGATAATTGAAAATGAATCTTGATGTGAATGGAATGGGAGAGGGAGCGAGAGATGGGAGGGGTGCGAGTAGGAGGGAAGTTATGGGGGGGAAAGCCATTGTAATCCATAAACTGTTTTGGAAATTTATATTTACTAAATAAAAGGTAAAAAAAATAAAATGAGCCAATCCTTCTGATAAAGTTTTGGCAGTTTCTTAGCAAGTAAACACAAACTTACCAAATGAACAAATAATCCCACTCTTACATATTTACCCTAGAGCAATGGAACTTAATGTTCATATAAAATATCCTACACAAATGTTTACAGAAGTTCTATTCACAGTCACTCCAAACTTGAAACAAACCAAATACCTTCTATGGGGCAATATAGAAACAATCTCTGATATAAATATATATTATGGAACACTACTCTGAAATAAAAGAGGAAAATTTTTATACACAGTTGCATAGATGAGTCACAAAGGCATGCTGAGTGAAAAGCCACTCTCGAAAGATTACATGCTTATAATTCTATTGATATATTCATGTCAAACGATACAGCTATAGTGATGAACAGGTAGTTATTTCCAGGGTAGTAAAGGGAGAGTGTGACTATAATCAGGTAGATTGAAGTTCTCTGGGTCATGGAGCTTTCTGGTATCCCCATTATGGTATAGGTTATACAAATACATACATGTGCTAACATTCATAAACAGGAAAAAGTCAATCATAATAAAAAACAGAGTAGCATAAGTTAACCAACATTTAAGCATGCACAGCTTACACAATATGCACTTTTAAATCCATTTACAAATGATGTTGAATTCTCTTCTACCTGAGCTCTACACTGCCCGAGCCTAGTTTAATTACTGTGTCTGCTGGCTAATTATGTAGAAAGCAGCAGGATCACAATCTTTAACCAGCTTTGAAGCCATCAGGATCAAAGCTCTCATTTTACACACAGCACCGTCTTTTTGAGGAACACTGTAATGAATATTTGTTCATTGTTTCCCTAACGTTTACCTGTTTCCCAGCTGACCCTCATTCCAAATTTAAAAATTGCTTCTAATTATCTTAAGGCCACCAGTCTTTTATTTCCTTTCACCACTGTGATTGATTTGGTGATAGATCCATGATCCAAGAAAGGCAATTGAGGACAACATGACTGAATTTCTGCATTATTGTGTAAGTTAGAGAATAAGTGAAATTTCCTTCTCCTTGGGTTGATGCTGCCACCATGTCACTCCAAGGACAGGCATAAATACTTTTCAGTGATAATGGGAGAGTCTGCTGACAGATAGGGGAGGCAGAGAGACAGCCTGCAATGTGGTAAACTGGTCCTGGCCGTATTTGTTTCTCTAGTGTAGTGGTTCCCAAACTTTACTGGAGATAAAAATTAGAAATTTTCTCCTGGTCACGCTGCCTTCGGATCTCCAGGGAAATACTGGAAAACTGTTCTAGTCTCCCTGAATTTAGCCTTATTGCTAGAATTTCCAAGAATTATGAACCAATAAACTTCCTTTTTAGTTAAAGTGAATTTAACATAACGCCTTCATTTCCCACGAAGCACCTTGACTGCTAGACGTTAGATAAATTTGTTTCCTCTTTTTAAAAAAAAATATCTTTTTTAGAGAAATAAGTATACATTTCTCAAGGGATTATGTTATTTAAATGCTCTGATGACATTCAAAAGACAATCATCCTCAGGATTTCCTGGACAATCTGGAAAAACAAGATTGAGATATAGATCTGTCGATCTCTCTTTCCTCCCTCTGCTCCTCCCTCTGAGCCTCCTCTTTTAACTAAATATGCCTGAGACACCTTTTCAGAAAGACTCTCCCTCTGGTGATCAGAGCCACTCCTAGCAAGTTGAAAGCTCAGGCTCTGTCTTCAAGATGGACCTCAGTGCTACAAGTCACCGCATTCCTCTGGGTGATGGAAACAGCATTCCCATCATCGGACTCGGTACCTATTCAGAGCCTAAAACGGTAAGCTTGCTCTCTTCCCATTGTGTGTATATGTTTAGCAGTTGTCTAGAGCAAAATGTAATCTGTTTCTGCTTGAATCTTTTTGATTAACTTTTTGTAATAGTGGAAGCAGCCTCCAAGGAGTACTGTGCCTGAACATTGAGCCAAAGTTTAAACTAATCAGTTCAAGGTTACAACTAGTTTGGATATATGGGCGAATGGAATCTTTCCCTTCACTGAAATTCAGCTGAATACTGATGACTAGAATGACTTGAGGCACATGGCACTTGGATTTTACAGCTGTTGATGCTCATAAGAATAATGTCTTTCCTCAGTGCAGCTCTACAGGAAAGACTGATTCTCAGAATAAACAGTGGCATATGTGAAATGCTACTGAAATTTCAGCAATCATGTATGAATGAATTTTGTAAAGCTGAGTATGATTTAACCAGGCAGAGAAACAGAGCTGAGGCGCGACATCTTGGGAGGAAAGGTGAGTATAGACACAACAAAGATGTATGATATGTCCAGGGAAGGCCGAGCACATGGTGGTTGGCATGTGGAATTAATAGTGGAGGTGATGACAGCTGGATCTGAAAATGCAAGTCAAGCCTGGATTATCACTGACCTTGAATATCATGCTTAGGTGTTAGAACTTTGTTTTATAGAATGGAGAAATCATCTGTGTGGCAGGTATTTGACCTAGTAGTTAAGACACTAGTTAAGATGCTCGTGTCCCATATCAAAATAACTTAGTTTAATACTCATTTCTGGTTGCTGTCTCCACCTTCCTGCTAAAGCAGTTCCTGGGAGGTAACCATGCTGGCTCGCATAATTGAGTTCCTACCTCCCACAAGAAAGATCTAGATTGAGTTCCTGGCTCTTGATTCCAGTCTTAGCCTAGTCTTGACTGTTGTGGACAGTTAAACAGTAGATGGGAGCTCTCTCTCTCTCTAAAAAAACGAACATTTTTTTAAAAATTGAGGAGAGGAGAAACAGCATCACTGGATCTATGTTTCTAAAAGGTAACTGTGGTGACCACTTGAGAAATGGAAGTTAGGAGCAAAACTAAACCAGAGACATGATGATACATTGTATCACAATCCCACATTCCACCATAATTACCCACTTCCTTTGGGGCACAGCAAAGAAAATCACTTTCCCAACAATTACTAGTCTGTGCCCTTGACTGCTTCCTCTTCTTTCTTTGCTCATTGTCTTTGTATGATCTATTCATAATCTTGGTTTTTACTACGGACACGTACTCCTCAATGTGTATTTCCTGTTATGTTTGTTATATCTCCCTCATGCAGCCACAATAGAACCACCTGGGACTTATTTAATATACAGTTTCTTGGTCCTCCCCTCCAAACTAGTAAATATGGTTCTATAGGGTATAGTCTAAGAATCTGCATTTTAACAAGTTCCTTGCAGGGGAGGGGAATATAGGGAGCAGGCATTTGGTTCAACAGTTAAGAGGCTGCTTGGCATGCCCTTATCCCCTATTGGAGTGATGAGATTCAACTCCTGGTTCTCAATTGTAGCTTCTTGGTCATGTGTACCCTGGGAGTTAGTAAGTAATGGCTCAAGGAGTTGGGCCCTACCACCTACATGGAAGACCTAGACTGAGTTTTGACTCCTGGCTTTGGTCCGGTCTAGCACCACCAGTTATTTCAGGCATTTCTAGAGTGAACCAGATGGGAGATCAACCTAGCAACCTAGTGCTCACGCTCGCTCACTCTCTACCGCCCCCATCTTTCAAAATAAAATTAATTAGTTTAAAAAATAAAGTTCCTCAGGTACATCGTATGTACAGGCAGTTTTTCACTCTGCTTTCTTCAGGCAATTCTAACTCAACACAACAAAACTACACTGACCATCCTCCCTTCTCAAACCTCCTAGCAAATAACACTGCCACTAGCAATGACAGAAACCAAAAATCTGATTATGCCTTCACCCTGCCTGCTTCCTCATATCTCTCCTTCCTTTTCACACAGCTTTCAAATGATTGCTAAAACTTTGTTGACTTTTTTTCTCAAATACTTCCAATTCACACCCTACTGTGTATACACATTGTCACGTGTACATTCTTATCTTGGGTTATTCTTCCAGTTTTGTTTCTTTCCAATTAGTTATCTTATCCAGGCTGGGACTTATCAGAATCATTCTCAGACCTGAAGATAATTGTGTCATGGCCACACTTAATGCATTTCAATATCCCCCTATTATTTATGGAGTGATGGCCACTCTCCTTGGCTGTACACAGAGCTTTTATGGTTTAGCTAAGACTTGTCAGTCCAGATACATCAACCACCACTCTCCCACCTTTTCCTATTTATAAAAACATTACTTAAATCCCTTGAATAACTTCCATTTCTTTGAACTTTCTGCCTTCTACCTACAACACTCCTTTTCCTCATGTGCTCATTTTGTAATTTCTACTAAACCTTCAAGATTCAGTTCAAGGAATACATTCTCTGAGCAACCATCTCCTAGCTGCCACACCTTGACTGTCCTACATGGTCACATAGGACTTTGGGCTAGATTCTGTGTAGCACTTATCACATTGCATTGGAATCATTAATTCCCTATACTCTTCCTCACCAGCCTGCAAAATTCACCAAGAAAGGGACCATGTTTTGTTCAGCTTTATATTCCCAGGATAGGTCTAGTATGTAATGGCTATTCAACTAATTCTTGTCAAACTAATGAATGAGTTTGTAAGAGGGTAAGTGTGTGTGTATATCAGAGTATCGAAATGTAAATGGATATGATATAATAGTTAAAATTTATGAGTCCTTAACATGAGCCAGAAACTCTTTTAAGAGTATGTGGTCTTTTTTTAAGGATTATTTATCTATACAAAAGTCAGAGTTACAGAAAGAGGAGAAACAGAAAGGGAGATCATCCATCTGCTGGTTCACTTTCCAAATGGTCGCAATGGCCAGAGCTGGGCCAGGCAAAGCCAGGAGCCAGGAGCTTCATCTGTGTCGCCCACATGATTTCCAGGTACCCAAGCACTTGAGCCATCTTCCACTGCTTTCCCAGGCCATTAGCAGGGAGTTGGATTGGAAGTGGAGCAGCTGGGACATGAACTAGTGCCCATGTGTGATGCTGGCATCTCAGGTAGTGGCTGAACTTGCTGGGTCACAACGCCAGCCCCTTAAATGTTTTATATGACATTCATTCTTTTTTTTTTCTTTCTCTTCTTTTATTTTTTTTTATTATTATTTTTTTCATTGTGTAATGTAATATTTTTTTTTATCTTTTATTTAATGAATATAAATTTCCAAAGTACGACTCATGGGTTACAATGGCTTTCCCCCCCATACCGTCCCTCCCACCCACAACCCTCCCCTTTCCCACTCCCTCTCCCCTTCCATTCACATCAAGATTCATTTTCGATTATCTTAATATACAGAAGATCAGCTTAGTATACCTTAAGTAAGGATTTCAACAGTTTGTTCCCACACAGAAACATAAAGTGAAAAATAATAGATGATTTTTTTTAAATGATGATGAAATCAGATCAGACCTATTGTCATGTTTAATCCCAGTGAGAGTCAAGTTGGGAATTAATAATTTCTTTTTTTTTTTTTACAGAAGATCAGTTTAGTGTACATTAAGTAAAGATTTCAATCGTTTGCACCCCCATAGAAACACAAAGTGAAATATACTGTTTGAGTACTCGTTATAGCATTAAGCCTCAGTGTACAGCACATTAAGGACAGAGATCCTACATGAGGAGTAAGTGCACAGTGACTCCTGTTGTTGACTTTACAAATTGACACTCCTGTTTATGGCATCAGTAATCTCCCTATGCACCAGTCATGAGTTTCCAAGGCTATGGAAGCCCCTTGAGTTCTCCAACTCTTATCTTGTTTAGACACGGTCATAGTCAAAGTGGAGGTTCTCTCCTCCCTTCAGAGAAAGGCACCTCCCTCTTTGAAGACCTGTTCTTTCCACTGGGATCTCACTCACAGAGATCTTTTTGCCAGAGTGTCTTGGCTTTCCATGCCTGAAATACTCTCATGGGCTTTTCAGCCAGATCCGAGTGCCTTTAGGGCTGATTCTGAGGCCAGAGTGCTATTTAGGACATCCGTCATTCTATGAGTCTGCTGAGTATCTCACTTCCCATGTTGGATCACTCTCCCCTTTATTTATTCTATCGGTTAGTGTTAGCAGATACTAGACTTGTTTATGTGCTCCCTTTGACTCTTAGTATGACATTCATTCTTAATATAATCATCCTAACATAAACTACATAGCCAGTTGATAGATAAGGAAACTGATAAACAGAGAGAGTTAAGTTGCCCCAAGATTATATTGCTAAAGGACAGATCTGAGATTCAAATCCACATGGTTTGAGTCTAGACTCTATGCTCTGAATTTCATACTCTATTGCCATTGACACACACACACACACATACACACATAAAATTCTGTAGGGTTCAAGGTGCTGTCTCTACCAAAAAATATTAAGTGCGTACTGTGTGCCTAGTAATATTAAATCCTTGGACTGGAAATATTCATAGTGATCACATGCCATTCCCACAAAAAGTTGTAATTGACTTCAGAAGAGGAGGCACACTGCATAGAGAATTTGGCCTAAGAATGGAGATCACACATATGCCAACCACATTTGTAATCAGAAATATTACCAATTGACGTGTGATCTATTTGATTAACCAGTGTGTTCCACAAGATCAAAAACTCCGATGTTAAGAACATATAACAATTTTTTGGAAGATCTGAGGTAAAGAAAGTTGTAGAGCTGGGGTTATGGAGGGAGATGAGGAGTGGGGAGAACAGAGTATCTCAGAAAGAACAAACTCACATTTTTCTGCTCTGAGTCATACAACTGATCAACACTTGAGTCACCACCCCAGTAAGATGAGACAGAAACTTACACTCTCTCTGCCCAGTTTGATCACCCCAAAATAAAATCTCTGGATTAGCTATAATTTCAGAATCAGTCTTAGTCCTAGAGTAGCACTCAGATGCCAAAATTTGATGTTCTC